AGGTGCTAGGGGAGGAGTCTGAACCACACTCGTAATCTGGACAGAGGTAAACGCTCTCCTCCATGCTCCACAAGTAAAGCTGTCAACAGCCTGACAGGCTCCTGTCACGAGGCCCCTGCCCGAAGTGCCTTTCCCTTTCTCTCTCTCTTCTGCCATGTCCACGCAACTTCTGCTTGGCGAGAGACACAGTTTCTGCCTTACCCTTCCCGAGAAAGCAGGATGGCTCACGCTCCTCTGGGAACGCTTCCGTCAGGGAAGTGTTGTCCAAGTGTTTAGCTCTCAGCTGATGCAGACTGACAGACATGTGCAGTAAGCTGCTCTGACAGCCTTGCCGCCACCACAGCCCCTTCCTTACACTAGCCAGGTTTTCCCAGAGATCAGCCTTATAGCCAGAAAGTCACACAACAGATTAAAAAACTCCACAGCTACACCCTCTCTTGCTCTTCCCGGGCATTGCAGCTTTAGAGCAGCACTTTTACCCTTAACAGAAAGGGGTAGAACCTTTGAGTATCGAGGCCTCACACAAGGCAGATACAAGAAGCTCACAAGAGTCATCACAGAGCAATAGGTTATTCCAGGGCAGCATTTTGATGGATTCACCCCCACCCTGCTAAAATATGGGCAGCCTGGCAGCAGTATGTCCAAGGACATCACACCGGCTCCTTGCCTGCAACATTGCACAGGGAGCTCTGAGAGCCCAGAGCAGGAGAACCAGCATCCAAGAGCCAGCCTGTGGGGAACCTCCTCAGACGCCCTCTGACACTGAAGAGACTTCTCAGCTCTTGGTGGGAGGGGAGAGACTGACTGGTTTTATCCAGGACGGGCTTTACTCAGGCAGGTGGGAACGCGAGAGGAGCAGTGGGAAGGCGCTGCAGGGAACAAACCTGAACTGTGGAAGGGACCCTACTCCCTGACTAAGAGGGCAGAGGCGGGAGAGGGGAAGCAGAAAAGGCTCATTTGGCAAAAGGCATTTGCCTGCTGTCAGATAGAATAGCATCGACACCATGCTTCCATCTGACCAAAGGCAGTCAAGTCAATCCCCTCACCCCATTGGAATTAAGAGACCCTGAAACCCACCAAGGTAGATGGTGACAAGGGCAGTTTTGATGGCAAGGGCAGAAACTAGGAAGATCCAGGGCTTCATCCGGGAGCAGCTTCTCTCTTCTGCTGGGGCTGAAAAACACAAGGCAAGAGTGGGAATCCCTCAAGCCAGAGTCAGGGGCAGGATGACCCTGGTGGCTCCGTACCCCAACCACCTGCTGGGGCCCTTGTTCCAAGGACTGGGCAGACCCACAGATGCTGTAACCAGGTCCTGCTGTAACCAGGTCCTGCCGCCCGTCATTAGCAGTGGGTCAGACCCACAGAGTAGGGCAACACAGGGGTTGCCCTGAAGCTGCTCTTGGGTTTCACTTCTGATCAATCACAAGCCCTGCCTCTACTCTTCCCAAACTGCACTCCTCCTTTCTTTGTCCCATCTCGCCTCCTTTCTCCTCAGCACAGTTTCCTTGTTGCCCCTGTTACCCCTGTCTTTCACTGAACATTCTGTCCTTATCTCCCTCCTCTTCACTCTCCTTAGAGCTTCTTTCTCTTAGCTCCCTTTATTTTGCCTCTCTTCCCCAAGCCCTTTTATGCAATAGCATGTAGCCACTCAAAGGAGTGACGGTCCAGCTCAGTGTTTGCAGAGGCAGACACACAGAAGCGATTGTTTCCACAGGGAGAACGGGCACTTTGGAGCTCTTGGGGGATCTCCCTTCTCCTTAGAGTCACCGGAGATGGGAGCAGGGACTTGTGCTGAGCTTGATGCAGATAGTTTCACCTGGAGAATGATAGTGGGATAGCACGCTTTTGTCCCATCACTTAACAGAATGAACACACTGAAGGGGCCAGCAGACCATAGTCTGCCTGGACTTTCACTGCCGCGGCTGTGGGAAAAAGGTCCTTCTCCCAGTCCAGGCACTCCCCAGTTCCCTCGTCTGTTGCTTTGCTCTTGTCCCAAGCCCCTTCTCCTGGTGTGAGGCCAGCCACCGTACCATGCCCATTGTCTATCCCAGCTCTGTATTGCACCCCAGCTCCTCCTCCTTCTGCAGGAGGACAGAAAGGAAGGCTTTGGGGTTACCTGCAGTTCCGGGACTGACACTCCCTTGGCGATTCATTATCTCTTCTGGTCTCCCTCTTCTCCAAGAGTCCACATTACCAGTGTCTTCCTCCCGCACAGGACACTGCACTTGGGCAGCTCCCGCACTGGTGAGGAGCCTTCAGGGTCTCTAACCCAGCCTGCAGAAAAAGCCGTGTCCTGGGTGTTCCCCACAGCACATCATTTCTCTGATAGTACATTTCACAAGAGGATTCTTGCATCATGGAAATACACATAGGCAAACAAAAACAGATGCAGAGAAAAATACTTCTAGGTATTACATCCTCCTTTCGCACAGAGTTAAGCAGTTTCATAGGACATATACTGGACTTTATTGCCATTTGTTCTTTCCTAGTGAGTGCGTATGTGTGGGAAAATGCCTTGCTGTTTGCAAGCATGGGGCTAAACCCACTCACAGCGTCCTGCAAATGGGAGTCAAAAAGTGGCAGGAAAGCATCTCGGTGAGTCAGTCTGGGATCATGTGAAGCCAGAGCCCAGTACCCCAGAGTCAATAAAGAATTTGCCAACGCTCTTTGTAACTCCTTGCTCAGGAAAAGAGAATGCAGCTTGGAGTGGAGGGATTGCATATGACCTGTCATCATGGGACTGGAGGCCAGAAGGGATCACTGGTTGGTGCCAGAATCCCTGCGCATTACAGGTCATGAGGTTTCACTTGGACACGACTACAAAAGGCACAGCCATACGTGGTGGTTCAGGCACTCTTCAAAACAACTTGACTGAAAACCCCACAGGATAAAGTGTCCCTAAAGATACCCCTAAGGATAACGAATCCCAACTGGATCTCGTTGCACTCTGAATGGACTGGGGTGGGTACGCAGGCTTTGCTCTTCCGTGTTCCATCAGCTAGTTTCTCCCTGTGACGAGGCATGCGTGGATGCACTGAGGAAGAAATGGGGTAGCTAATGCAAAGCACGAGCATATCAGTAGAAGTCTTAGAAGAGCAGGGAACAAAACGGGTTACAAATGAGGACAAGCCTAAATTGTATGTAGAAAAGACCCTCTGAGTATGGGCTTTTGTGCACAACAGGCTGCAGGCAGGATTAAACCTTCCAACAGCTCTGTGCAATGGGAAGGACGGTCCCTACCCGTGCTTGCTGTTATTGTCATAGAAGGTATGAGCTACTAGGAGGCACTAGCTACTGGATTCACAGTGCAGTGAGAGATTCTCAAATGACATTTATAAAAGTTCCCAGCCGTCATGCTGTCGAACAGAACTGAATAGCACCACAGATGCATCCCAAGGAGAATGCATTGTATTTGTTATTGCTCTAAAATATCTGCTATAAAATATATCAGGGAGGCAGGAAAATCCTCTCCCAACCTCCCTCACCTTCCATGGTGCAACTTCACAATAGATACAGGTCCCTGAAACTTTTGAATGAAGTAGAGAAGGGTGAAGAAATTGAGTCATACAAGGAGGATGTCCAAGGCCTACCAAGGCCAGCTCGTTTTATATCAGGTGTTAAAACCAGTTCTAAAAAGAACCCCAGTGGGTGACTCCATTCTGAAGGGTGTCGAAGGCCCAATGTGCAGACCAGACCTGCTTCATAGGGAAGTCTTCTGCCTCCCTGGGGCCTGAGTGAAGTACTTCATGACAAAACTCCCCACTCTAGTGAGACCCAAGGACTACTACACTCTCTTGATTTTTCAGTTAGGTAGTGCAGATATTCCAGGAGAAGTCCTAAATCAATGAAGAGAGATTTCAGGGCCTTGGGGAAACTGATTAAGGGGTCGGGGGCACAAATTGTGTTCCCCTCCATCGCTTCAGTTGTGGGGATGGATGAAGAAGAATACAGGAGAACTCAACAGATGAACTTGTGACTCCAAGACTGGTGTTACTGTCAGGGCTTTGGATTTTTCAATCATGGGTTAGTATACAGGATGCCAGACCTTTTGACATTGACATCAAATGGGATGCACCTGTCCCAGAGGGGGAAAAAGATATTGGAGCAGGAGTTAGCTGGGCTCATTGAGAGAGCTTTAAACTAGATTTGAAGGGGGAAGGGGGCAAAACATCGGCCCATCTGAAGTGCATGTATATCAATGCACACAGCATGGGTAACAAACACGAGGAGCTTGAAGCCATGATGGAACAGGAAAATTATGATGTTGTGGCTATTACAGAAGCATGGTGGGATGTCTCCCATGACTGGAGCGTGCCAGTTGACGGCTACAAGCTTTTTAGGAGAGACAGACAGGGAAGGAGAGGTGGTGGGGTGGCGCTGTATGTTAGGGACTGTAATGATTGCTTTGAGTACAGGTGTAGTGAAGACAGAGTGGAGTGTCTTCGTGTTAGAATCAGGGGAAAGGCCAACAGGGCAGATGTTGTAGTAGGAGTCTACTATAGGCCACCCACCCAGGACAGAGAGGTGGATGAAATATTCTATAGGCACTTAGGAGAAATCCCACGATAGTTTGCACTTGTTCTTGTGGGACAATTTAATTTCCCAGACATCTGCTGAAATTACAACACAGCAGAGTGGGACGAGTCCCAGAGATTCCTGGAATGTGTGGGAGACAACTTTCTGACGCAGCTGGTGAGTGAACCGACCAGAGAAGGTGCCCTGCTGGATCTCCTCTTTGTGAACAGAGGACTGGTGGATGATGTGAAGGTTGGAGGCTGACTAGGGCACAGCTATCATGAAATAATAGACTTCTCTATTCTTAGAGAGGCCAGGAGAGGGGGCAGCAGAACTGATATCTTGGACTTCCAAAGGGCTTTGTCTTGTTTAGGCACCTTCTTGACAGGATCCCTTGGGAGATGGTCCTGAAGGGTGTAGAGGTCCAGGAAGGCTGGGTGCTCTTTAAGAAGGAAGTCTTAACGGCTCAGGAGCAGGATGTCCCCAGGTGCTATAAGAGAACCTGGTGGCAGAGAAGACCACCCTGGCTAAACAGGGAGCTTTGGCTGCAACTCAGGGAGAAAAGGAGAGTTTACAGCCTTTGGAAGAAGGGACTAGTGACTCACAATGATTACAAAGATGCTGTGAGGCTATGCAGGGTGGAAATCAGGTGGTCTAAAAACCAGCTAGAAGTTAATCTGGCTTCAGCAATCAAGGACAACAAGAAATGTTTCTATAAGTATGTCAACAGCAACAGAAACACCAAGGAGAGCCTCCATCTCCTGCTAGACACGGGAGGGGACATGGTAACAAGTGATGAGGAGAACGCTGAGGTGCTTAATGCCTTCTTTGCCTCAGTCTTTAATAGCAAGACTAGCTCTACTGAGGGAATCCAGCCTTCTCAGCCAGAAGACAGAGACTGGGAGAACGACCCCCCTGCATTCCAGGAGGAGATGGTCAGTGACCTACTGAACAGGAGCCAGCAGTGTGCCCAGGTGGCCAAGAAGGCCAATGGCATCCTGGCTTGTGTCAGAAATAGCATGGCCAGCAGGGACAGAGAAGGGATCTGACCCCTGTACTCAGCACTGGTGAGGCCGCACCTCTATTCCTGTGTTCAGTTTTGGGCCCCTCACTACAAAAAGGACATTGAATGACTCGAGCGTGTCCAGAGAAGGGCAACGGAGCTGGTGCAGGGTCTGGAGCACAGGTCGTACGGGGAGCGGCTGAGGGAACTGGGGGTGTTTAGTCTGGAGAAGAGGAGGCTGAGGGGAGACCTCATCGCCCTCTACAGCT